GATTTTAAACCAGGTAGTTTTAAACCTTTGTTCTGTTCCCATCACTGCCTCTTGGTCCATGTACAAGTTATGCATGAGCACAAAGTATTCTGGGATTCCCATTCTCAATATTATCCATATATATTTTTTAATGATACACAATACAATACTGGTATGGCCAATAAAACACAAGTAAACATTTTTCTGGTATTCTCTATTTTGAAACAAGATCCATCTGACATCAGCAATGATATCCCTCATTCCACTTCTTCTGAATTCTGCCTGTATTTCTGTCAGCTCACTGTCCGTGTACTGTTGCAACCGTTGTTGGATAATCTTTAGCAAAATCTTACTTACATATGATATACATGATATTGTTTGATAATTTGTTCTTTCTGCTGGGGAACATTTCTTTGAAAATTTTCCAATATGGATCTCTTCCAGTCAGTTGGCCATTAAGCTGTCTTCCAGATCACTTGGCATAGATAAGCACTTCCAGTGTCATCACCTTGTTAAATCATTTCAATTGGTGTTCTATCAGTTACTGTAGCCTTGCTTTTGGTGAATGTCTTTAATGCAGCTTGACCTTCTTCCTTCTGAACCATTGGTTCTTGGTCATATGCTATTAATTGAAATCGCTGAACATCAAGTAGTTCCTGTTGGTATAGTGACTGTTTATTTTTTCCATCTTCTTTAGATGCAGAATATCCTATACCATTGGATAGTTTATTCATAGAATATTTCAGCATTGTGCCTCAAGTTTGAATTTTTTCTTCAGTTCTTTCACTTAAATTATGCTAAGTTTGATCTTCATGTTTGATTTTCTAATTCTAGGTCTTTTTGTTTGGGATTTCATTTCATTTCAACCTTGTACTTGGGATACTGAAATTTGTTCTAGCCACATGTCATATTTCAAATATTATTTTAAAGTAATAATAGTGTTGGTGATGCTATATAGCATTCACTCAAATGCTATGAACATTTTTAATATCTTACATTGGCAAATTTAGACACTTGGCAATTCCATTAAACCAGAAGGATTGAGAAACTCATTCTTCTATGTGTAACAAGAATTCATTGTCACAGATGTTACTAATATTTTTAGGTGCTGTCTAGTCAGTTCTGAATCGTGCTGACCCTAAGTACAGCAAAATGGAGTACTATCTAGGACTGAGCCATCTTAAAGCTATCTGTTAAGTTGAACCGATTGTTATACCTACTGTGTCAATGAATTGATCTACTTTAGTAACATGTGCAAAGTGCATAAGGAAAATTCTCACCATCTTTGCTTTAATAATCAGCCTCACTTCTTCTTTTTTTAGTTGTGGAACAAATGTTTTAAAACATTTTTTATTTTGAATATTTTCAAAAATTATTTTTTTTATACTTAAAAAAAATCATTTTATTAGGGGCTCATACAACTCTTATCACAATCCATACATACATTAATTGTGTAAAGCGCATTTGTACATTCATTGCCCTCA